TTCAGAATACAAAAAAATTGACATTCAATAGAAGTATATTGTAGAGATGTGACGGTGTTGCTTAAGTGATAAAAAGGTCAGACCTAAAGTGTCTCCCATCCTATCCTATTGGTCTTAAGTTTGATTTCTCCCTCCTCCAACTAACTACTAATCATTGCCACGATATATAAAAAAATAAAAAGGGGTTAAATTATAAGATAGTAGGATCAAAACTCTTTTGTTATCAAGCAATTTCAACAAGTTTAATTAAAAAAAAACTAACTCGGTGTACGGCCACGGACCTAGTGAAGGCGGGCAATTGTCTTAAAATTGCTCCCCCTGTTAGTGTACGGGACTCTCGTCATTAAATTTATTAAAATTATTTACTTAAAAATAACATTAGCCAACTCTATCAACTTAACTTGATTACTTAATTATGGAGAAAAAAACTTAATAACTTAATTTGAGTTCCATAATTGAAAAAATGCTAGTGGGAGAGCTATAAATTTGCCATATTTATCATCTTTTGTTGATTCTAAGTGAAGAGAACATATTAAAAAAAAAAAAAAATTATAAATTGCATGAAAGTGGTATAAAAATTCTGACTGACATTATTTTGTACTTAATTCTAACTTATAATAATTAATTTGTTAACAACTACTAATTTATGAGAAGATGAGCTATTAGTCATGACATGAACTTACACTTGCACGCGAGTCTCACCAATCTCAAGGGTATACTTTAATTAACCTATATATATATATATATATATATAATCAATATAGTCTTGTATCAATAGATAAACTCGAAAAGTATATTCTTCTTATTAATTAATGATTTATTTCTTATACATTAAACACACAAAGACCTTGAGATCACCACTTCAATAAATTAACATCTCTATTAATTATAGAAATTAATCAGAGAGTTCAATTACTTACAATCGATACAGAAACCATATGCAATACACACACATGCACATGTATTTATGAATTCGTCTACATTAAGGTTTGACTGAATTATTAGATAGTGCACGAGACAAAATCATATTATTTAAAATAAGTACCATACACACACACACACATATTCTGATATAATTTGTCAACGGGTCAATTAAAAAAAAAAAAAAAAAAAAAAAAAAAAAAAAAAAAAAAACTTCAATACACCAACAATTGCAAATATAACAAAACGGAAAATATATAAAGGTTTTGAAAATTGCTAGTCTTACAACATAAGAATATTTATATATATGATTTTGCCCAAAATTTACTAGTTATATATATATAAATATATATATTGGATTGGCCAAAATTAGTTAGTCATTCTAAGACAGAAAAGTCTACAATATTGTATCAAAAAGTCAAATATGATGGAATTGTAGTTTGCAGTCATATTTGAATTGTTTTTACTTTTTACCTTTGCTTTGGTCTATATTTTTGTATAAATTTTTCATTTTCATTTTCATTTTTCCTCCCTTTCTCTCATTCCCGCCAATTGCAACCATTTTGTTCAGGATCAGTCAACTATTGTTCAGAAAATATTTTTCTTGAACCTAAGCTTCTTTACTCCATTAATTTGCAATCTTTACATTCTCCGACTTTCAACTACATAAATATGATCTTTAGTTGTTATGAATTTAAATCCTCTTTAGTGCCTAGTGTTTTACGAAATTTTGTTGCACAAAAGGCGTCGCATCATTTACTTATCAAAACGATGTTATCTTGTACTTTAAAAATTTTAATCGGAACCTAAGAGATAGACTACATTCTTCTTGTAGCACTGAAAAATACAAAAATTGGGTCCTAATTTGATCGAAAAAAACGTTGTGTCTTGAGCACCCACGGGCTAGAAAGCCTTTATAATTTCAAGGTGTTCATTTCAACTGCTGCAACCCTATTCTTGATCAAAAACCTCCTCAGAGCCTTAGATGGTAAAGCTATGTGATAATAGTGTGAAGATTTTCAAAAAGTAATTAACCAAAATTTAGTGAATGGATTATTCTTGTTAGGAAAATCATCTTCTAGAAGTCAAATTTAACTTTAGGTTTTATTGGTTCTATATTACCCTAAACTTTAAGGTCACTTTGTCATCCTTTAATAATTGCTGAAATTTGAAAACTTATATACAATATCAACTTTTTGAGTATTACTCGGAGTGAATGTGCCGTGTTCGAATCCTTCATCCCCTAGTCATCGTTCGAGTCCTCCCTCCTCTAATTTGTTAGGAAAAATTTAACGCATTTGACTAAAACTTGCTAATTTTCCACTTTTTAATTCAAACTTTATAAGAGTTTCGTGAATTTACATCCTTAATTGTTTATTGAAAATGTAAACTCACTTAACTTTTGTGTTTTATTTATTTATTTATTATTATTATTATTATTATTATTATTTTTGACAACTTAACTTATAATTTTGAAGAATGCCAAACCGTCCAAAATGTCTGCCATCCAGAACATCCGGCGTATCTTTAGTGTCCTGGTGTCTCCACCATAAGGTCAAGTGTGACACATTTATTTTTGCAATTAAATTAATCACCTCTTGGATCTACACACCCCACTAGAGACATTAAACTTGCAGTGTCATCTACCTTATAGTTTACCTTGTCATTGGTCATTACATTCTAACATATATATATGATATATATATATGATATATCAGTGTGAGTTGGAAAAAAACACTTGTATCTTTATTGTGCTTTTTGTTATGCTTTGGGGTTTGGGATGGTAGAGGAATGGGACCACAGGCTTGGAAAAGATGGGGAAAAAGAAGTTGCACTGTTCAAGTTTTAGGGACTCTTGTCCTTATTGGCCATGGTGAATCTCCATGAAATATATATTAGTCAAATGGCCTCTCTCTCTCTCTCTCTCTCTCTCTCTCTCTCTCTCTCACTATAAAGATGTCACACAAGTTGGAATTATATATATATATATAGATTAACTGAACAATGTGTAACAAGAGTTTGAATCTTTAGTCAAACTATTCACACAATAGGGTTTGGTACACCAAAGTTTGGCATTGGTAAAGTTTCTATAATATCCTTAACGATTGCACTCTACTCTACTCCACCATAAATTAGAATAGGGTTTGAATTATTTAATCAGAGAACTTGCAACCAATCCAAAAAAGTGAGTTACACAATGAAAGAATTGACAGCACTGAATCCGCCCCCTTGAATTTAGAATTGAAAATTTTTTAATTTAAAATTTAAATTAAATTTTTTCTAATTCCAAATTAAATGTATCAATTCGATGCTTCCAAATATAACGCATAATATAACACACATTTAAGCTGAATTATACATTTAAGCCAATGATTTCAACATCAAGTATAGTCCTTTCCTGCACAGTTTGCTGGAATTATATTACGTTCTCTCTTTCTCTGTGTACACGTATACGTACAAAAGAATGAAGGTTTGTCAATTTGTAATTTCCAAATATATAGCACAAGGGTATTTAAGCTGGACTATACATTTAGGCTAATGATCTATGCATTAAGAGTAGTCATTTCCTACATGATTCGGATTATATTATCTCTTTCTCTATGTGTTTGTATGAAAGGTTAGCTGTCATACTGTCATACTTCTATATCTTACAAGATGTTGGAGTGAAATTTTAGACATCGTATAAAATAATAATCAATAAATAATTATCATATGTCTAGTAGATGGTACGGACCCAAATATGGATTCAGCCCCCATTCGTGGAGAGTCCTATCCGAGATACTGAATCAAGAATTGAACCCCCTTTGATTGTTTATAATAGGTTAAGTGCTTGCCTTCTAACTCAAAAGATTAAACTATTAAGTGAAGTAGCTTATTGTAACAAGGGTCATTTGTCCTACATTGAATTCAAATGAAAAAGTGATTGGATATAAATGGATGGGTATGAAACACTACCAAACAATTTAAGCTTTTGGGTAAATGAACAAACACCCACCCATTACAATTGGTATCAAAATTACACCCAGTTTTCGATCTGATGTCACGCCAAGCGCTCGGCCCGAAGGACGTCCGGGTTTATAGCCTGAGTAGGCAGGGTGGCCGAACCGCAATGAAGGTGTTGCAAATTTGAATGTCCACATCGGATCTAGATGAGAAATGTGATTAAATATAAATGTGAAAGTATTTAGCACTACCTAACAATTTGAACTTTTGAGTAAATGAACAAACATCCACCCATTACATCTCCCAACCCAAGACCCTCTCCACTGGTGGGACAAGTCTAACACTAGCCTTGATGTTTGACCCATCGAAATACAAAGCCAAATTCAAGGGTTCATGATGTAGAACAGAGTTTTGATGATTTTGAAACGGCCAAAGGTCAAAAAATGAACTGAATCTTTAACATCTTACACATTTGGTAGTGTTATTGTACCCAGTGATCTTACCACCAAAGGGTTTTGAATGTCCAACCTCTCCGTATTGAGTACTAATGAAGTTTCCTGAATATGCAAAGATCAAACAGGTTACTTGAGGCCCTGATGTTGAAATTGCTGTGATTCATATTTTTCACTGCTATTCTGAGTCAAGTTCAGACTAAACCCTGCAAAGAAATCAAGTTAATACTTGTACATACTGTTAACACACACACCAATACTAATGAAATTGCCATGAAGTTCACAACTACTGATATGACAAATAAACAAGATCACATACCATAAAACCATCTGGTAAATTATAGGATACCAGGTGCCCTTAAATTAATCAATCTCAACCTGTTTACCCAAGTATGAGTTATGGTGTCATTACGAAAATCTTACATTCTAACCATGTTCAAAAAACCCCTCAACGAGGGCGTAACACCTGACCTACAATATTACCTGTAGCATCATCTTAGTGCTCATAAAAAGAATGTATAACAGACAGACAGAGGTATTAGTCCATCAGGGAACCAGATTGTGACCCAAAAAACAGGCAGCTACGTGTAGAAGCTGATGCAACTAGTTACCATTGCAGGGGTAACTTAAAAAATAAAAAAATAAACATATTTGCGCGCACATGCACACGCACACGCACGCACATAGACCGAAGTGATATCTTTTATCCTGGACTGAAATGGATTTAATACTCAGAAAATACTACTACAGCACATCAAATCTCAACCTTTTCTCAATTTTTTTTGTGTAACATTGATTTTCTTTTTTCAGGGGACAAAAAAAAAAAAAAACACACAAACACACATCACTTGCTATAATCCAGATGAAGTGTTGCAGCAGATATAGCGCATAGTACTGCCACCATAACATTCCAAATCACTACAAAATCCTAAAATTGGCTTACTCGAGTACGAGTTATCATGTCAAGGGCTGATGCCCCCATTTCACAATCAACACACAATTAGTCAGGAACAAATGACATTCAAAGCCCACCTCCTCCAGGAGAAGACAATGATTGGTCAGCTAATATGATGTCACGGCTCATCCAACTGATCCTGCATGAAATACAACATAAGCTGAAGTCAAACTTTGTAGCAACCTGGTTCATCGCCATTTATAAGCAACATGAGTGTGCGCTCAAACTGTGTGTGTGTGAGAGAGAGAGAGAGTGTGAGAGAGAGTTGCACTGACCTGTGCGTCTGAGGTCCAAAGAGTGAGATTGTCCCTTAGGAGTTGCATGATGAGAGTGCTATCCTTGTATGACTCTTCACCCAAAGTGTCGAGCTCAGCTATGGCTTCCTCAAACGCCTGTCCATATAAATCAGTAGAAATTCAATATGCAGTTATGGAAATCAAAACTAAAAGTAACATCAGCCTCGAGTATAATTTTATAGCAGCAAAAGATCCACAAGCAGGGATGGACAAATGCTAACTTCAAATGGTCACTTAGCTTCAGCCTAAAATAGGAAAAACGATGCAGTCCCCACAATATGACTCCAGTATACAGACAGACACAGCAGCACATGTAACAATAATATAAATTATACCTACCATACAATGAGACCACCACTCGGATGGTCTTCATTCTAACCTAACATGAAGCATGTGTGGAAGTAGCACTTCTTCTACAACACATCTTATTAACCAATAAGTAATTTTCAGTAACCATGGTTATTTCAAAATTCAGTGACTCGTGTACAAAATTCTAGTAATCAGGTAACTAGAATAAATAATTAAGCAACACATTTCCAAATAAGAGGTTTTTCCTTTGCTCTACCAAAATATAGCAGTGTAATGGGTGGGGTGGGGTTGGTGGTAGAAGGTGGAATGTGTACGATGAAAATAAACATGAGCAAAGTTTCTTTAAGCTTAACCTTTAAAGTTTTAGTTACCTCTATTTTGTTTGGATCACTGTCCCATACAAAAAAAACCTGTGATCTACATCCCATATATCAAAGGGGAAATTCCAAGATGAAGCAACTCAGTTACAAGTTAAGCAAGTTCTGAATTAGCTAGTTAACCAATTGCACAATAAACAACTTTCATCAAAACCTAGAACAGGATTGAGTGGAAGAGAACCATCATTCAACACCATGCACATAGTTTAAGTTACGCTTTCAACCAAACCATCGAGTGAACTCCCATAGACAATATCCATCTAGATGCTCCAAGAGAGTAATCTGATAGTAATTCGTTATCCTATACATATATGAGCATGAGCTGCATGACTAGCATAGAGAAGCTTAACATTAAAAGAGATTGTAGTGGTTTACTAGCTGACACTATTCGATCCGGGAGAGGAGGAGATGTCGAGCATGAGCTGCATGACTAGCATAGAGAAGCTTAACATTAAAAGAGATTGCAGTAGTTTACTAGCCGACAATATTCGATCTGGGAGAGGAGGAGATGTTGAGGACTGGAGATGTGGAGAGTTAATGAGTGAAAGGGAGGAGGTCGAGTGCAATCTAGTTTACAAATTTGTTTCGGTCCCTTTTTTTTTTTTTTTTTTTTTTGATAAGTAAGATTTTATTAAAAACGCTCAAAAAGGGGAGCGAAGCCCAAAGAAACAAAAGGAACAAATTTGTTTCGGTCCCTAGTTTTACCCTTATATATGCAGAATGTAAACCATATTCTATACGACGAAATGCAGTATTCAAAGTACTAAAACTTGTAAAACAAATGCCGCGGAGTTGCCCCATGTATCATAACTCAATGCCAAAACTCCTAAAATGAAACTCGATTTATGTCTTTCCACTTGGCATAGCAGAGAGAGAGGGGGGGAGATCACAGAAGCCAGAGATGAACCTGGCATAGCATGCGCGCGCACAGAGAGAGAGAGAGAGAGAAATCACAGAAGCCAGATATGAGCTTCAGAATGGATTTTCCAGATCACAAGTTCTGATCCTACAGCCTTTAAATTTGGGGTGGGGGGAGGAGGTAAAAGACTGAACTGATTTTTTGGATCCATTGTATCATGTAAAATTCCATAGAATATGAAAAAGAAATTCACCTCAATCTGTTTGAACTTACTCTTTGGATCCATCATATCATGAAAATTTCCATATGAATGTGAAAACCAGATTGAGGTAAAAGAATGAACTGACATTTTGGATCCATCATATCATGAAAAATTCCATATGAATATGAAAACAAAATTCAACTCCATCTGTTTGAACTTACTCTTAGGATCCATCATATCATGAAAAATTCCATATGAATGTGAACAACATATTCTCGTCAATCTGTTAGATTATTACTACATTGAAACTTATCACAAAATAAAAAAAGAAGATTATTATTACATTGAACTCCCACCTATAAACAGGTGGGATTACCCAATTTTGGACTTTATGTTCCTCTAAACAATTACTAAACTAAAAACCTGAATATTTAATTATCACAGAGTACGAAATGGGTCCTCCATTAAAACATGGAGATAATTGGTAATTTTATTAGGTTCAAGAAACTTCAACATGAAACAAATAAGAACAAGGCCATACAACTCTCAAACCACTTCCATTCCAACAAATTAAAATACAGGCTGCTCATCCAAGAAGTGATCCCAATATACACAAAGTAGTCAATGGACAAGTGTCATGCCTAAAGCAAGTACAAACTGATACTGTAAGATTATACTCTTACTAATCCCATTAAAGCATAGTACAATGATAATTCATTAACTAATTTCAAACATCGTCTATATCTTTTTACTGTTATTTAATGCTCAATGACAAGAAAATTAAAGACCAACTTATATAACAAGTATTCACATATGAATGTAAAAGTAACAATAGAAATGGGGACGAAGCATACTTGTTTTGCCATACTGCAAGCTTTGTCAGATGAATTGAGAATCTCGTAGTAGAACACTGAGAAATTCAGCGCTAGCCCCAACCTTATTGGATGCGTTGGAGCCAAATCAGCCAGTGCAATATCCTACAACAAGAACACCAGCAACTAAACAAAATTAAAACTTAACTCAAATCAGAATATTCCACAGCCTGAATTTGTAATATGCAACACTCACTAACTCAAAACCCAAACAATTGAACCTATTCCTCACTAAAAAACTTATGAACAGCTGCTTAACTCTCACCCTAGGTTTTACAATCGCAGCACGCATTCAAAACTCTAAAAAACTCATATATACAACTAACTTGTCCATATGTGCATATGTGTGTAGTTACAGAACTAAATTCATAATTAACAACACAGTTTTAAATATCAAATATCATATTACAACTACCTAAGCTGTATACTTATGTAAATAAAATCAACTTAATCCTAGCTATAGCATTTATCTCTCTCTCTCTCTCTTTAATTCTTGCCTTTAATTTGGTTTTTGCAACATACATTCAAACCCTCAAACTCAAAAATTTGTGTCTAATTGTAGCACTAATCACAATTATAATTCTAAAACTAAACTCAACTTTACAGGTAACTCTTGCCCACTCAAAAAACGCCAAATACTAAATAGAGCTATTGTGTATATTGTTCAACTCTCGCCTTAAGCTCGTAATTTGTAACACATATTCAAAACCCTAAAAACTCAGCTATACAACTAACTTGCCCGTATGTGTGTATAATTGTAGCACTAAATTCACAAATAACAACAAAATCAAAACCCTAGAATATCAAATTATAACTACGTTAGCTTTTTACATACTCCGTATTTATTAGATGTATGCACGAATCTTGACCTAAATTCACAAATCACAACGAATACACATTTAAAAAACCGTGAAAACTACCTGAGCATCCTTGTAAGCATTCATCGTGTCCTCCGCAGCCTCCTTGCGCTCGTCTCCGACCTTGAACTCAGCTAGATACCTGTGGTAATCGCCCTTCATCTTCAGATAAAACACCTTGGACTCACTTGTCATAGCGGAAGGCACGAGGTTGGAGTCCAGGAGCTTGAGAATACCAGCGCAGACATCGGAGAGCTCGTTCTCTACCTTGGATCTGTAGTCCTTGACGAGCATGACATGGTCTTCGTTCTTGCGAGACTCCTCCTTCTGCTCGATGGAGGAGACGATGCGCCAGGCAGCTCGGAGCGATCCGATGACGTTCTTGTAGGCGACGGAGAGGAGGTTACGCTCCTCGACGGTGAGCTCGGCGGCCGGAGTGGAGCCGACGACGAGCTTCTCCATGAACTGGACCATCTCTTCATACCGCTCGGCCTGCTCGGCAAGCTTGGCCAAGTACACGTACTGGTCTCTGGTTAGGTTATCTGGGATTGCCACCGTCGCCGCCATTGGAAATGAGTTTTTGCAGAGAGTAGAGAGAGAAAGTTGAAATCTAGAGAGAGAGACGCGGAAAGAAATGTAGAAGACGGGGCTTTTTTTGGTTTTTTCTTCGGTTGTACTCCGTATTTTTCTATTTTGGAATGGGAAATTTTACTGACTGTGACGCATCTGTATGGTAACTTGGGAAGAGATTGATGCGACGTCGTTGCAAGAGAAAGTTGAATTCGCCCGCCTTTATTAAGAATTTAGAGGATCATTTGGACAAAATAATTAGAGATTATGTTAAGGTTTATGAATATTTTTCATTTTATTTTAAAAAATTAAATTTATAATTAAAATTTCTGCTTAATAGTTTTGGTATGAAGTTCAAGTTTAAACCCTCGTAAGTCTATATATATTTTTTAATATATTTTTTTAGCATTAACAATATTCCATTGTATTCGTCCCTGTTAGAGGACCAACACCATCACCACCATCAACGTTCAACCTTGAGCGACTGTAAAGATGAAGAGAAATGGATCTGCTATTGCTTCTTGGGTATGGAGAAGGTTATTTCCTCACAATTGCCTCTCAAAAGGTACTTGTCTTCCTACCGCTACTACTACTGTTCATTATACAGTTTCATTTCACTCTCATTCTGCTACTTCAGATCGTAAATCACTGACCCAGAAACCTAGAATTGGGTTTTACAATATTAATAATCTCCAAGACACTCTCAATTCATTCAATCGAATGCTCAAAACGCGACCTTTGCCTTCTGTTATTGAATTTACTCAGCTTCTAGGGTTTATTACCAGAATGAAACATTACTCTACTGTTGTTTCTCTCTACAAACAAATGCTTGTTTTGGGTATCCCAGTTAATGATTACACCATGAACATCGTAATAAACTGTTATTGCCACCTCAATCGAGTCGATTTTGGATTTGCTACCGTAGGCGACCAACTTAAACGTGGTTGTTGTGCACCTGATGTAACTACATTCAACACCCTGATAAAAGGGCTTTTCTTAGAACATAAAATTGCCCAGGCGATGGGGTTATTCAACAAGCTGTTGAGGGAGAATGAGATTGAGCCTGATGAAATTATGTATGGAACAGTGATAAATGGTCTTTGCAAAGCAGGGAATACTAGCATGGCCATTGGGCTACTTAGGGCTATCGAGAAAACAAGGGCTAACTTAGCAATGTATAACACCATAATTGATAGTCTCTGCAAGGACAGAATTGTAGATGATGCTTTGGTCTTTTTCTCCGAAATGATTGAGAAAGGTATGTTGCCTGATGTTATCACATACAATTCTTTGATTCACGGACTTTGCAATTTTGGTCGATGGAAAGAGGTTAAAAGACTACTGAATGAGATGGTGGATCTGAAAATTTTTCCAAATGTATGTACCTTCAATATTTTGGTAGATGCACTTTGCAAAGAAGGGATGGTTAGAGATGCAGAGAGTATACTTAAAATCATGATTCAAAGAGGTGAGGATCCTAATGTAGTCACTTATAATGCTTTAATCGATGGATATTGTTTGCAAGGCCAGATGGATGAAGCAATGAAAGCATTCAATTCCATGGAGGACAGGGGAATTGAGCCTAACACTATCACCTGTAACACTTTAATCAATGGATATTGCATGCAGATGAAGATTGATGAGGCCATGTATCTCTTGCGAGAAATGCCTTGTAAAGGATTGGAACCCACAATTGTCACTTACACAACTATGCTGCAGGGGTTGTTCCGAAATGGTAGATGTGCTGTAGCGAGAAAGCTTCTGAATGAGATGCAAGCTAGGGGCCAAATTCCAGATACTCACACGTACTGTGTCCTGTTGGACGGCCTGTGCAAAAACGGGCACGTTTCTGAAGCGTTGTCAATATTTCACACGATGGAAAGAAATGGATTAAATTCTCATATTTCTATTTACAACATCCTCATTGATGGACTTTGCAAGAATGGACAGTTTGACGTTGCATGGGATCTTTTTGATAAACTTTCCTTCAAAGACATGCAGCCTAACGTTAAGACATATACTATACTGATAAAAGGACTTTGTGTAGAAGGACTACTCGAGAAAGCTGAAGAGCTGCTCAGGAAAATGGAAGACACTGGTTGCTTTCCTAATAGTGTCACTTACAACACTATTGTCCAAGGATGTATGAGAAGGGAAAAGTGTGACAAGGCAGTGGCATTTCTAGAGGAAATGATCAAGAGGGGCTTTTCACCAGATGCGTCTACATTTTATGTGTTACTACATCCATTATACACTACAGGTCAAGACCCTGCACTCCTCAAAATGATTCAGAAGTTCATGCCAAAGGAAAACATGAATATCCAAGCCTAAGTGCTATAATGTGTGTCTGCACTTCTCATGATGAATGTTGCTGCTGGTGATTATTTGTTAGTATCATTGGATATATTCCACAATCCGTTTGTAGAAGCATTACTATTGAGAGAATATCTTCTGGGAAATTGGTAGATAGTTTTCAGACATAATTTTTGTGTAGAATCTGATCATTTGACTGCAATCGCTAAAGGGATTGAATCACCAAAATAAGAGTGCTCGAATGATTTCTAGCATTTATTTTCAGTTCGTCTAATATGAAGGTGGAAAACTTTTATGCTTGTTCCGTTGCTAAGAAGACGCAAAGAAATGCAACATATAAGTGGAGCACTTTTTAATTCAAAAACATTGCAGGGATGAATGGGTAATTTGTTATCTTCTTTCATGATGATAAAATTTAAATGCTTACTTCTATTATTTACTTGTTTTATAAAATAAAATTGCTTCTCCTTTCCCTTAGTGATACTGTATAAACAATTTTTTTTTTTTGGGAAAGTTTCAACTTGGTCCTTTCAATCTCTCATATCATGCCTGTAAAATATTAACCTCACTTGGCCAAATTTATATTTGACTTCTTGAGTCTTTACATCATGATTCACGAACCATGATACAGTTCAGATTATTGTCACGGGGTCATTACAATTTGGACAAAAGTTAATGAATTGAATAAATCCACTTTTTTTTTTTTTTTTTGATAATAATAATAAAAAATAAATAGGATATGAGTATCGTTCAGTATTTATTTTAGTCCGACATTATAGTTCTATTTGGCATTTTGTTAGTTTAAGATCTTGTGAATTCAAAGTTAGTGTTTTTGCTTAAATATTTACGGTGTATTCACTAATCACTAATGTTTCCACTAGTTCTTACCTTTTTCTTGAACTGGGGCTTAGCAGGTTGGTTCAAACTTCGGAGGGATTCATTTGCAAGACAAACCGCGCTGCTACTAGTGATGTTGATATGCAATTAATGGTTTTCTTTAGCCAAAATTAGTCAGACAACTTGTTGAATATCTTGGTTGCGAAAAGTATGACCTTTGGGACTAATTCCGTATTCGGTTGCTTGTTTTGATCCTTTTTGTTTCCATAGCAATTTTATATTTTACTTGTGACAATAGTTTCAACTATGAGTTCTAAGGCATTTAATTTATGAATCAATATAATACTTGGAGTTGATGGAGACTGCATTCTTTCATTGAGTGCTGGCATAGTGCGGTGAACTGTGAGATTGATGTTGAAGTTAATGCATCTAGGGTTTTTTTAAGCTTTTGGTTTTCTTGATTTTAGCTGAAGTTGAGGAAATAACTCCTTATATTATTTATTTTATTATATTTTCTCTGTTCTCCTTATAGATGAGGAAAATGGCTATTCTCCCTGCCGTGTTTGATATATGTTATACTAGGAAAATCAACTCTAATGTTTTTGTGGTATTCACTGTCATATATTTATTTACTTTTCACTTTGGCATGTCAATTTTAAGTTGATGCTCCAATTGTCTGCCTTTTATTAGGAGGCCATTTGGGATTGGGGAAGTTAAAAGAAAGAAATGTTATAAATTTATTTCTGAAAATGATTATATATTTAGTGCTAAAAATGAGAAGAGAAAGGAAGGAAATGGAGGGAAAAGGAAGAGAATGTTTCTTTTACAAATACTGATGTATCATTCATTTCAGTTTAGCCAGTCTCAAGCTTAGTAGGATTGCTGACTAGTTGTGTGGTTGGGTTACAGAATGGACTTAGGGTTGAGTTCTGTAATATGTATTATGTATATGTGGTGAAAAAGGATATCCTAGAAAATACTCATGTCAATGAGCTATTGAGAGAATTCATCAGCAAGGTGCAACCAGTTTGACTATTCTATATATGTGTATGAGCCACGAGCACACATGGAAGAAACTCGAAAATGAGCTTTTAGTTTATTTGAGTTCAACTGATGTGAGCCTCAACAACGAGCCTTGAGCTAAGGTCAGGTGACTCCTAGTGCTTCCCTCCACATAAAAGACCCTTCGCTAGGTTACTTAATTAGCAGTGAGATCCTTCGGTAGCTTATAGCTTGATTGGCGCAGGGGAAGAAAGTAATGCGTATAGTCCTTTAGACCAATAAGCAACCATGGACGATATTGCAAAAAGATGCAATAGCAGTGCAAACAATACCTAGTTCATAATATATTTTTTTTCAAATCGCGCAGGAATGGTCACTAAAGAACTGAACAAGGATGGTGTAGCAAAGGTCCCTTTGGATTGAGAATCAATGCTTGATCTCATTGCCCCAAGAATAGGTTAAGTAAGACTGTTAAACAGATTTGAACTAAGCCAAAACACTGTCGGATAACAGTGTGATAAAGGTCTTGGAGTACTGGAGTTTGAGAATACTAGGTTAAGCTTAAGCAAACCAGAAGCTAGAATAAATTTTAACCCACTTGAGTTTGAGCAGTGTAACTCACTTTGGAAGTCCTTGGTCTTGTAATTTAAGTGAAATTTGCTAGTTTTTTTTTTTTTTTTTTTCTCTCTCCCTCTGAGACATACTGTGGAGCACCTATCCCACATTCCCACCCCCAATTCCCTTCTCCATCCACTTGGTTCCATATCAGCTGAAACAACTCATTTTCCATTCGGAGGTGGAAGTTCATTCCACTTGTTTCCTCTAAGGATTGCCATTCCTTCGTAAATTGGGCTTCCCAATCCTCTGTTCTGAACAAAGTTTGCGACTTTATCAGAGCTACGATTCTTTTTATGAATCTGAAGGACTCTGCTGCTGCAATAAGAGCTTGGATTGAATGGGACATTCCGTCTTTTGTCAGATAAGTTCTTGGCATTTATATATATGGACGCGTCTTAACCATAAAACAATAATCATTGAGAGTGTGTGCAAAGCGGTAAAATCTAGTCTCAGTTATAGCTAACTTTAATGCATTCAATAAACCCAATACTATTTTTAAAAGTAAAATATGCTTGGTTTTTAACTTTCAATGACGGGTAACTAAGTTATAAAAATGTTAATTTCACAACATTAGCACAAAGATCCCACACAATAGCACATGACAATTCCAAAATCCAAAAGAATAAATAAATAAAGAGGATTGAAAAAAAAAAATTAAATAAAAATAAAAAATAGAGCCAATGTTAGTATTTACGAAATCATTGGCCGTATGTATTAATGTATTAATGTTGCTTGGAGAGAAATTAATCCATTTTTATAATTTCTTATTCTAACAGGAACTTTCCTTTTATACTTTCGTATTCTAACAGGAACTTTCCTTTTATAATTTCCTATTCTCATAAGAACTTCCCTATACCTTCACACTAAGACATATATATATAAATATATATTCACAATTCAAGAATATTCACAATTCAAGACAACAAGAAAGCAAGAAAACTAGGGCGATCGGCTTTATCCCGCCCTCTGGCGCAGCAGAAACACATCCACCATTCCTATCCCCCTTCCTTTAGTCGATCTGATCTGCGGAGCCTCCTTCCCCTTATAGATTCTCATATCCCCTAGTCATATTCCTGAAATTAGTAATATTGATTGAAGCCTAGACATGGCTTTGATTGCCAATAAAGCCTATTTGGGTCATCGCACCAAAAGAAGAAAAACATCAAATTCATTACCGGATTGGCCCGGACTTCCCATTGACTTGTGGGAATCAATCCTGACCCGATTGTCTGTCGTCGACTTGCTTGGTGCCGCAGCAGTATGTCGTTCTTGGTGCTCTCTTGCAAAAGCCCGAATATCATCACTAGAGAGTCCACTGTTTGATCAACCATTGCTCTTGCTTCCTGGTACTGATCAAGACAATAAAATTAGGCGTTGCTTATACAATTTTGCAGAGAAAAAAACCTACAAGCAGCTGATAAAAATCCCAGAAGACTTGGTTAATTGCAAAGGATCATCCCATGGGTGGTTGATTTTTTTGGACCCAAAAGCAATCCCATACATCTTCAGTCCATTCTTGGAGGTTTTGATTAAACTTCCTCCTTTTCGTGTTACCGGTGAAGTTTGCAAAACAAGCATTGATTCCTTCTTTGTCCGGAATATTAAGAAAGGTGTTCTGTCATCAGCCCCAATTCATTGTGACAACTATTGGGTTGCAGTAATATATGGTGCAATTGTTTCAAAGCTTGCCTTTTGGAAGTGTGGAGGCAGTGAATGGACTGCCCTTGACAGTGCACATCAATGCTATTGTGATATCATATCCTACAATGATCATATTCTTACTTTGGGTGAAACAGGTTCAGTTGAAATGTGGGATTTCAATAATTCTTTACCACAAAAAAAGATGGAAATTCAACCCATTTTTCCTGAGAAAAAGTTGAAATTTGAAAAGTCTCTTGGAGATGATCTTTATACTATTCAAAGTTACATTGTGGAATCAAAGGGTGATCTTTTGCTTATTTTGAGGTATATTGGGAATCATGTTCGCTGGGATGGTGTGGTTGTTCATGAGGCCGATCTTCTTGATGAAGAGAATCAATGCTGGATTTGTCCTCACCTGACAAAATTGTTTCATGTTTACAAGTTGGATTTCAGTCAGAAAAAATGGGTAGAACTAGTATCATTAGGCGATAATCAAATGTTGTTTCTGGGTACAAATCAATCAGTGTCACATTCAGCAAAGAGTTTTCCATATTGTAAAGGAAATTCGATTTACTTCACTAATGAGTACTATTGTGATCGTTTGGGTGAAAATGACATATATGGTCATGACACGGGCAGGTTTGACATGGAGAATCAGATTATAGAACTTATTAACGAAGATAAAGATGATTGGCAAAAAATTGACCCAGCACCCATTTGGGTTGTTCCCAATCTATGCTAGTTATAGAGGCATCCTAAAATATGATTTAGCAGACTTGTTTCTTCTTATTTTTGTATTATTGTGGGCTACAATTTTGTGCATTAAATGGATACATATTATTACCATATGTTAATCTGTATTTTCAAGCTAATACTACACTCTGATGACCCTCTTTTTGAAAGTTTTCAATTGCTTAAAAATTATTTACCATAAGTTTTTTTAGAGTTAAAACAATGTAGGAGGCATACCTCCTAAAACAAAGAAAGCCCAGAAATGGAGAAAACCCATTTCCAATACAAACCAAAACTAAAACAGGACAACAAGATCATGCTTAACTAAAACAAAGCTAACAGATCAGCCAGCGAGAAGTAATAAAAATTGAGAACTTCCCAGACAACAAGCTTAAAGATGCGATCAGCATCATCACAGAGACCTTGATGAAGAGCCTTGTTGCGAGCCGACCACAAAGTCCAGATAGTAACTGAAAAAATCGTCCGCAAAACTTGAGACCTGACACTCTTCGATGTATTATGAAGTAAAAACCAATCCACTAGCTGTTCCATGGAGCAAAACGGATGAAAGGGAAGTTTTAACAGATCAAACAAATACCTCCAAACATTGTATGCCAACGAACAGTTGCAGACCAAATGATCATTTGCGTCCTCGTGGGAGAAACAGTTATGACATATAGACGGAACCAAGAACCTTTTCTTCTGCAAATTGACAAAAGAAAGATTTTTGTATGAAGAATGATGGACACCCCAAGCGCAATTCTGAGTCTGCAGAAATTCCAACATAACCTCGACCATTTTAACCTCCGCGCTCTGTGTCTGCAAACTGACCAAGCCGCCTTTAATGAAAAAATTCCATGCTGCCAACTAATTTTATCAGGCCCATCATGAAGACTCAGTGAAGAAATAAAGGTACGGGCCAGAGGAGGGAAGTCTGCTGGGAACATCCATGCGCCATTGACTATAATGGTCTCCACCGTTGCCTTGTTATCAAAATTCCGAAAAGAAACAGCACCAAACCTCTGAACCACAGATAAATTACTACACCAAGGATCATGAAACAGATTAAAGGATTGACCACCACCCAACAGTATATACAAGATGAGGAATTAATTAGTCGCGGACATCCAGAATTTGCTTCCAAGATGCTGAATCAGACGTTCTAGGGAGGACAGTCCTAAAGGAAGATTTTCGCAAATACCTAGCATGCATCCACTGTATCCTTAGCTTATCTTTCTTCTGAACAAAATCCCAGCAGATTGAAATTTTTGTCGCAACATCAATATCTGAAATTAGCCTCAGGTTGAAGCCTCCTTCAGCGTACGGAAGAGAAACCTGGCTCCAGTTGATCTGTGACATATTCTTAACTTCAGTTTTACCACTCCACAGAAAATTTTTGAACTTACTTTCCAAAATTATTCCGCAGCCCCATGGGATTTTGAATTTGAAAAGCCAGTGATAGAGGAAAGAGTAGAGAACAGAACGTAATAATTCAACCCTACCAGCCAGAGAGAGGTTGATGGTGTTCCAGTGGGTCAACCGAGCATCGACCTTATCTATCAGCGGCTTACAATCAACACTTCTCAAAGAGCTATGGGACTATTTACCATATGTTAATTTGTTAATATAGGTCAATCTGTGCTTAAAATGGCCCTCTTTTTGAAAGTTGTCTTGACTGACAAACCTACACAACTCAGAAAAATTGAAACAGGCCTCATGGTGAACTGTACAATTTAATGCACCATGCACCTTCTATCACATTCAAACAGAAAAGATTTAACTCTACGTGGATATATTGATTATTGACTTGATCAAATCTCACAATTATGGGGCTTCCACTTCTTTTTTTTCAGCAAGTAAATGAATAATCAAATAAAGAATCTCACTCTTATGGGTCTGCAAACATAGAAATTTTGACAACTTCGAATATATAACAGAGTTAGAAAATGTTACCATTTAAAAAAAGAAAAAAGAAAAAAAGAAAATGAATCAACTATCACCATCAACTGCTTTGTTTCAAGGGGGCTGCATAATGATCTTAGTCAAAACAATTTATTATGCTGATTTCGGTGTTGCCTTGGGGTGTCATAACAATACGAGAGTTATCTTGGTTTATCATTACCAATTAACTGAGAGGAATGTCCTTTTAAGACTTAATTAACTCAAATGATCAATTCATGAAAAAGCTAAATTTGAAAACTATTTAATGGTGAGCTATGATACGTAAACAGAAAATACACACTGAATAAACTATGCCAATCCAATTCATTGGTCAAGTGGTGTCACGAGTGAAGTCTTCTTCAACATTTTAAATGGTGGTTTAGGCTTTCTTAGCTTGGAAACACAAAATAGAGCTGCAATTTTAAATGGAAACTCGTGTTAAATACTCAGAACAACCTATGACTCAAACAAAAATACTTAATCAGAAGGAGATGTTTCGGGGATTTTAGCATACCTCAACAAAGCAGTTGGATATGGAAAAAGATACTTCAGCTGAGATCCGTAGAAATACCCTTTTTTTATGTTTTTTTTATTATCAAAAGCAAGGATAAAAATGGTTCAGAAACTCTCTTCCGGACTAACAATTTGGCTGCAAGAAGGCCCTTTGATCCTCAAATACAGCCACTCGCCAGCCCATCTTTCCTTGATTCCTCGCAACCATTTTACTCAGGTGATTCTTAGTGCTTCCCTCCACAAATTCTTTCCCGGTTCCCAGCTTTTAACTTGCATGTTAAGAGACCCTTGGCTATTCAAGTACTGCTTGAAGCTAGATATATTAATGAATTAGCAGTGAGATCCTTCGGTAGCTTATAGCTTGATTGGTGTAGGGAAAGAAAGTAATGCACATAATCCTTTAGACCAATATGCAACTATGGACGGTATTGCAAAACAACGCACTAGCAGCGCGACCAATACCTAGTTCATAATATATTTTTTTCAGAGTGTGCACGAATGGCCACTTAAGAACCAAAACAGGATGGTGTAGCAAGGTCCCTTTGAATTGAGAATCAATGCTTGATCTCATAGCTCCAATAATAGGTTTATTAACTCCATGGTTGCTCCCATTTCCGTAGCTCTTCTTCTCTCCCTCCTTTTTGATATTGTTGTGCCTTCTCAATCCATTGATTTCATCTACAACGGATTCTACCCAACAGATATGGATTCAGCCAAACAAACCTTATTCTAGATGGATTTGCTACCATCATCCCACCAAGTGGAGTTCTTGAGCTTACTAACAAATCTTCTACTAATATCAGAAGCCATGCATTCTATTCCCAACCAATACAATTGTTCACCAAAAATTCTTCTTCTGTCAACTCTTCTAATTCCTTTAGTACATACTTTGTTTTTGAAATAGTCCCCAAAGATGTCAACCGAGGCAGCTATGGCCTCACCTTCACTTTATCTTCTTCACCGCTATTTCCTGGAGCTGAAGGGGATCACTACCTCGGAAGTTTCAACTCAACAAATGACGGGAACCCCTCAAACCACATATTGGCTGTTGAATTAGAAACTGCTAATGGGCACAAAGAGGCACCAGATACCCCAGACAACCATATTGGAAGCAACATCAATATCATGGCCTCAGTTGCATCCGAGCAGGTTGCTTATCATTTTAGTCGTATTGCTGTAAAGGAAGAAGTGAGGTTGGAGAGTGGAAAACCAATCCAAGCTTGAATAGAGTATGAAGGGCGAAAGGGAGTTGTTAATGTAACCATTTCGCCTGAATCAAGACCAAAACAGGCCAACTAGTCAGATAATGTAAGATAAAGGTCTTGGAGTACCGGAGTTAGAGAATACTAGATTAAGCATAAGCAAAGCAGAAGCTACAATAAATTTTAACCCACTTAAGTTTGAGCAGTATACTCAACTTGGAAGTCCTTGGCTGTGTAATTTGCTAGTTTTTTTTTTTTTTCTCTTAGACATACTGTCGAGTACCTATCCCACATTAGTTCTGAACAAAGTTTGTGAAGGACTCTGCTGCTGCAAGAAGAGCTTGGATTGACTGGGACATTCCCTCTTTTGAGAAAAACCATGGGCAACAAAAGGAGAAGAGAGTGCAAAGCCGCCGACAAAATCTACATGGCCGGAGGGGATCGTGACATATCACGCCTCCACCTCCACCTCGTCATCCCCAACAATCTCAATGGAGCTTGAGGCTCCATTACCAAGTTTGAATCTGGTATCGCCGTTACTTCAGGTTTGGTTCAACTCTCTCCATTGGGCCGGCCATCCAAGATTTTCTTAGAATAACCTTTTATAGTGCCAGTATTTTGCTTGAGGCATGGGTATAGAAGGCATTATCTCGTATAATTTATCGTAAGGTTCTCTAATTTTATCACATCACATAGATTTTGTGAATTACACACTGAAAAATAAAAATAGAATATTTGTTCCATTTAATAATTCTTAATTTTCAAAATTCAAAATTTGTACACACATCTAAATCATTTATGGTTTCTAAGACACGACTTGAATGGGATTTTGGAAATTCAAGAGATTAAAAGAAAAGTTATTTGATGTTATCTTGGTTTGTTCCACAAAAATATTTTTTGGGGGTAGGTAATTTTAGTTCACACTATGAAATAATCAAGCAATGTGACACAAAGGTCACTCCCCTTCCTTTTGAAGTTAAAAGGAAAATGATTCAAAAACGTGAAATATAAGATATAGAAGAAACCAAAAAAAAAAAAAAAATTAAAATTAAAATTAAAAAAGCCTATTTTAAATAGATTTAATTGTGTCACTATGTCCCATTACAACAATTTGAAAGTACTACGTTTATTTTAAGATAATAGGTTGGCCAACAGGCAAAAATGTTGAATTTCAAATGATATTCTAAAGGTACATTGTAGACATTAAATTTTTTTGATTAATTCATCACTGTCATATCTGTCAAGAAGTCAAATATTTTTTAATTAATTAAATCCCACAAATACAGGTCTCATCAACGGACACGTGTCAAAATCATAAAGGTTCAAACCTTTAAAGAAACGTTCGGTTAAATTC